CAGATAAGAAATATAAGGGACTAAAGAAGCAGCTGTAGATTATTCAGTGTTCTGGATTCAGTGCTTGAGGATTTAATGTTTCAGGTTCAGAGGGTGTTATGGGCTTCAAATGTGGAGGCCTCCAGCAGCCAAGCAACGAGAGGAAAAAATTTGGAGGCTTTGCTAGTAGCTGAGAGACTGAAATTTTTCCTGGTGTTGCTGCTGTTACAGCCTGTCAGAGAAGGTGAAGACCCAGAGCTGGTCACCTTGCCAAGCTACGTGAGTATGGCTGTTTGTTGGCTTGTTCAGCCACAGCAGCTGCTGTTTTGAGTGTCACTTGTCTGGTGCTATGCTGGGGCATCTCGGCAGCTCCAGGAACTCTCCTGTTGTGTATTCTGCTGTCTTAGTGAGTTGGGACCTGGCCTATAGTCTGGCTGTCACGTGTCCACAGTGGCAGGGAGATGCCATCTTAGACACGTGGCCTATTGTTAGGAGAGGAGCTCCACATCCTCAGCGGCAGGAAGATGCCATTTTAGCTGCTTTTTGTTAAGGACTTAAAAACACTGGACAAGGCTTCAGGTGAGGTAAATAGCCATTTTTGGCCTAGTAACTCTGTTTTTCCTTGGTTTGTTAAATAAATTCCATAGTTGTTGTTCTTTGAGCCTGAGTAGTCTTGCAATTGTATGCATGGGTGAAGAACTCAGACAGTGACCAGCAAACTATTTTAGCTGTTTCCTTGGCCAGTTTTAGTGCCCTTTGCTGCCCTGTATCACATAGACCTGAGCAACTACCATTATGCTTTCTTTTTCTATGCTTTTGGCTTTTTTAGATCATATGGTATTTGTCTTTCATGGTCTTATTTCCTTTAGAATATGACCTCAAGGTCCATAAATATTTTTACATATGGCAGGATTCCACCATTTTTAAGAGCTAAATAGTATTCCATTGTCTATCTATCTATCTATCTATCTATCTATCTATCTATCTATCTATCTAATCACCCATTGATCTGTCATCTATCTAATCACATTTTTTTATTCATTCATTAGTTGAAGGGCATTTAGATTGTTTCTACTTCTTCACTATTGTAATCAGCTCTGCAATAAATATAGGAGTGCATGCTTTTTTTAATTAGTGTTTTTGTAATTTTGGGGTAAATACACAGAAGTGGGATAACAGGATCATATGGAATTAGGAATTAATTACTGGATTAATTAGGAATTAATTAGGGATTAGGAAACAAAAATTCTTCCCTGGCATGTGATTTTTATTTATTTTTTTATTTAAAAATTTCAGTTTTTTTATTTTTTAATTTCTACTTTCATTTTTGGAGTTACATTTTTGTTCTTTCATATGTGCACATGTTCCACTCACCTTCCACCAAATCACCATGGCATGCGGTGATTTGATTAGTTATGCTAACAACATATTTCCAGACCAAAACGTTAAATTCATATGGCAGTATAAACAAAGACACATGTACACACACACACACACACACACACACACACTACCATATTAATATGCCCAATATAAACTAAGGAATTTCAGGAACATTGTTAGTGGAAGATTTTTGAAATATTAAGCAAATTTAGCAGAGAGCCTTGAAATAATCAGTATAAAAGGTCTGAGTGATATTATAAACCTGTAAAGGTTTATAATGAATGATAACCAAGAAGGCACAAATGGTGTAGGGAGACTCACAGGGTAACCTGGTTAATAAGGAAACATTTTGTTTTGTTTCCTGACTTCCAAACCTTCCCTGCTTCCAACTAATTGTATTGTAAATTTGGGCCTTACCCCCAGGGGAAGCTTTGGAAAAAAAATCAGGAGACTCAGTATAACCTTATTTCCTTCATCATCAATACAGTTACTGGCAACTTTTTCCACGTTGCTAGGTGATGAAATCATTGTCCTCTGGGTGTGAGTACAGCCCCTGCTGAAGCCCTTCTGTGAAGTGCTGTCTCTTGTCAACACTACGCCCCTCCATGCAGTATGACTCCTTGAAGAGCATTAGTTGCTGCTTTGGGATTTACCTTCCCAATGGCTGCAGTCAAAGAAAGCAAGTCACATTATTCTTTTTGTTTCCACAGAGGCTCCTTTTGCTCTGGGATAAGAGGTCCATCCCCTGATACCTGAAATACTCTAAAGAGATCCCATATTCTGCCAAAGGCAAGTCTTTTGGACAAGCCCAATCTTTCTCTTCTGCAGCAATGATAATCACTGTTAATTTCACACCCAGCTTTCCATAGTTAAATTTGTTGCTAGCAAAGATGATAAAGGAGGGAAAATTGATGTTCCAGGTCATGTGGCAACCAGAGAGTCTCAGAAGGCTTCATACATGATGAGGGCATAGCCCAGCAGAGAACACAGGGAACAGGACAAACACACAAAGGTCAGTGCTGAAAGAAGTTGCTGAGCACTGAGTGGTAAGAACCAGATTTAGTATAAAAAGATGGATATGCCAGGAATTAGAAAGATGTTTGTTAGTAACAATGGGAGTGAGTCATTCATTTCCCTCATAACATTTGACTTACAGGAAGAGAGAAGATATTTCCTAGTTCATGAAAACTACTTTTGTTAGGGTCCTCATTTTTCCATCATTTCCACTGAGAAGAAAGTCAAACCATAGGCTTTGAATTTTTCACTTCATGAATACTGTGTTTTTATTTTTGTCTCTTATCTCCTATCTCTTTTTGCTTTTGGAAAAATGCCCAAAGACAGGTCCTATAACAATTAAGAAATTATCACACTACTGTTGTTTTCTTTTAAATATTGTAGTGGGGTATTCAGGCAGCTTTTTAAAGGAAGAAAATTACATCTGCATCAGAAAAAGTATCTGCATAGTTTGAATTCAAGTATCTTGTAGCTTAGTACCTTTTATTCTAAGGAAATTTTGAAAAAATCCCTTGGAATTTTTCCATCATTTCTAAAAGGTTAAGGGTCATTTACATTACCAATAATATGAAATGGTGTAGAAATATCTTTGTGCCTGCCTGAGTCAGTCTTAACCAAATATCATTATCTTACTTCTCCAATTGTAATCCAACCAATCAGACAACCCATATTTCTTTTTTTTTTATGTTTTTTTTATTTTAAATAATAAATTTTATTTTTATATTCCCCATACATTTGCAACCCCCCCATTCTGACCCCAATCCCTCCCCTCCCGCCCCCCACCCCCCAAAAGTGTCTCTGGTTCATAGTTTTTGATTTTGATTTTCACTTTCTTATAGTTATTCATTTTCCTGGTCCCTTATTTAAGTTTTCTAGATTCCTGTTATGAGTGAGACCATCCGGTATTTTTCTTTTTCTTTCTGGTTTATTTCACTGAGCATGATCCCTTCCAGCGCCATCCATGTTGCTACAAATTGCATGTGTTTATCTTTTTTGAATGCTGAGTAATATTCCATGGTATATATGTACCACATCTTCTTGATCCAGTCATCTATTTTTGGGCATTTGGGTTGTTTCCAAAGCTTAGCTATTGTAAACAGTGCTGCTATAAACATAGGGTTCTTTGGAATTGATGTTTCTGAGACAACCCATATTTATTTTTTAAGAGTCAAGATTACAACATATGAGTAAGCCAAAGTCCCTCAAAAGAGCGTAAGTAGATATGTTTTGGTTGAAATTGTTTTTTGACATATTCTATCAGAGAGTGTGAGAGGAGAACTGGTAAGGTCAAGCTTTTAGGAATTTTTAAATGGTAAGTAACTGTTTCTTACAGCAATAACTACAGAAGAGTAGACCTAGTCCATGGAAGATTAGTAATGCACAAGAGAAAAGCAAATGTAAATCAAATTGTTAGTAAACATTTGAGTTTATGATTTTACAAAAGAGCAATCAGAGCAATGAACTTACTATTAGATTTTATGTGCTCTTCATCTCTTAAAAATCAGTGAATTTTCTATTTAGAAGCTCCATTCCCAAATGTAGAAAATCTAAGACATATGAAATGTTTATAAATTATGACTCAGAATTTAAATAGTGTCTTAGCTATTGTTGTAGAACATTACACATTTTTTAAAAAGATTTATTTATTTATTTATATAAGCACTGCGTACAGTCAGAAGTGCGGGAGGGTGAGAGAATTCATCAGAGCCAGAGCAGGGAACAGAACAGATAGACTGACGAAATACATTGCTGAAGGGAGCAGCAGACGTGGTAGGAGAGGTCTGTGCGCCATGTGGGACCCTCACCGGTTCCTGGGGATCGAACCAGTGTTGCAGAGGTTGCGGGTAGCTTCGCAGCCCAGCACTCAACCTCTGTGCCACCAGGGGAGGCCCAGAACATTACACATTTTGCAGAAACTATCTTAAGCCCTATTGTCCATGTCTCTTAGCCTGGCGATATACACATTTTCAATTACAAGTGCTACAATCAGAGTTTATTTCCTCTTTCCTGCTCCAAACTTCCTCCCTTTCTCTCTTGTTCTGTCTTTAGAGTTCCTTCAAAATGTAGTTTTTTGGATCCCAAAATTAGTTATATTTTGATATATTTAGTCAGGAGCATTTCATCTCTGAATTCCCCAATCCATTACAACTCTCAATTAATCAGGTGTAAAATCTTCACCTTAGTTTATATTGGGCATATTAATATGTTAGTGTGTGTGTGCATGTGTGTGTGTACATGTGTCTTTGTTTATACCTCCATATGAATTTAGTATTTTGGTCTGGAAATAGGTTGTTAGCATAACTAATCAAAGGATATTTTGTTCTTTCTATAATTGTATTCAAGTGATGTTGGTATTTTCACTTGCTATAGATTCTTGTATCTTCATTTATCCAAGTACTAACAAGGTCACATAAAAGAACTCATTCCCTTGAGAAGTTAGAAGTTATTGACTGTATCTGTCACAAATATCTGAATGAAACATAAAAATAAAACTATAAAAAATTTTATTCTCACAATGGCAGATTTGGAAATGGTGAAGGTTTTTTTTTCCTAATCGGTTAGCAAGAGTTTGATATTGAGTGGGCAACTTTTGAATATATGTGTTTCTTTAGGTATAGGAAAAGATGAATGATGACCGAAAAAAATGCAAGCTGGGAAGGCTACTTTGTTCTACTGGGTTTTTCTAAATGGCCTCACCTGGAGGTAGTCCTCTTTGTCGTCATCTCCATGTTCTACGTGATGACCCTGATAGGCAACCTGTTCATCATCACCTTGTCATACCTGGACTCCCATCTCCACACTCCCATGTACTTCTTCCTCTCCAACCTCTCTCTTCTGGATCTCTGCTACACCACCAGCTCTATCCCTCAGTTGCTGGTCAATCTCTGGGGTCCAGAGAAGACCATCTCTTATGCTGGCTGCATGACTCAACTTTACTTTGTCCTTGCACTGGGGAGCTCCGAGTGTGTGCTGCTGGTCGTGATGTCCTATGACCGTTATGCGGCTGTGTGTCGGCCCTTGCACTACACTGTCCTCATGCACCCACGTTTCTGCCAGTGGTTGGCTGTGGCTTCCTGGGTTAGTGGCTTTGCTGCCTCAGCACTTCATTCGTCCTTTACCTTCTGGGTCCCTCTGTGTGGACACCATGAAGTGGATCATTTCTTCTGTGAAATTCCAGCCCTGTTGCGACTGTCATGTGTTGATACCCGTGCGAATGAACTGACTCTCATGGTCATGAGCTCCATTTTTGTGATTATACCCCTTATTCTTATCCTCAGCTCCTATGGTGCCATTGCCCGGGCTGTGCTGAGGATGCAGTCGACAAGCGGCCTTCAGAAGGTCTTTGGGACCTGTGGAGCATACCTGATGGTTGTGTCTCTCTTTTTCATTCCAGTTATGTGCATATATCTCCAGCCACCATCAGAAAAGTCTCAAGATCAAGGCAAGTTCATTGCCCTCTTTTATACTGTTGTCACACCCAGCCTCAACCCTCTCATCTACACCCTCAGAAACAAAGATGTTAGAGGGGCCATAAAGAGACTAATGGGCAGGGAGAGGGAGATGTGACAGGGAAGCCACCTGTCCTGCAATTTTTGTTGAAAGCGTCTCATCCATCTTAGGTAGTGGTTTATCTGCTTCCTTAGGATTTATTTTTGGTCTCCACACCACTAAACATAGAAGGAAAGTGCAGTGTTCAATTTTTTTTTGTTTTTATTGATTGATTCTGGAATATTATCTAGAAATCACCTTTCTAATTTGTACCACTTTAATCTTTATAATTCCATATTTAGTGTCTGTAGAATTCAAGTATTAGGGTTTAAACTTAATATGCTAATTTTTGAACTGAGCATTAATATCAATTGTAAGACAAGGGCCATATAGCAAAGATTCTCACTAATGGAATTTGTGTTATTGACAGGTATTAAATTTAGCTAAATGGTAAAAAGGTGTGACTATTCTTTAATGGAAACAGTTTTTTTTTTTTAAAGATTTATTTATTCGTACAAGCACTGGGTACAGTCAGAAACACAGGAGGGTGAGAGAGTTCACCAGAGCCAGAGCGGGGAGCAGAACAGGCAGACTGACTAAATACACTGCTGAGGGGAGCAGCGGGTGAGACAGGAGAGGTCTGTGCACCATGTGGGACCCTCGCCAGTGACTGGGGATTGAACCGGCGCTGCAGAGGCTTGGGCAGCTTTGCAGCCCAGCGCTTAACCACTGCGCCACCAGGGAGGCCCTGGAAACAGTTTTTTCTCCAAGACACTAAATTACATGAATGTTTTATCCTGTGGGTCTATAAACTTGTCACATTGAACAACATAATGAAATACTTATTCAAAATGGTACGTTTATTCATCCATCTATTTATCTACTTATTTATTCATTCACTCCATTCACTAACTTCATTAACTAAATCTCTTATAGATTGTGTGATTCTTGGCAACATAGACAATAAAACTTTTTTTTTTTGCCCGAATAAAGGTTATTTTTAGTAGGGGAAAAACAATTTGAGATAAAAAATGAAGTATATATATTTTTAAAAAGAATTATTTATTTATGCATACAAGAACTGGGGTACAGGCCAGAGGTATGGGGTGGGGAGAGGATTCACCAGAGACAGAGTGTGGAACAGAACAGGCAGAACAACTGAAATATACTGCTGAGAGGAACAGCAGAGAGACAGGACAGGTCTGTGGCACCATGTGGGCAACTCCCTGGCCTAGGATGGAACTTGTGCTGCAGAGGTTGCAGATAGTTTCATAGGTTGCATCTTAACCCCTTGCACCACCAGGGAGGCCCCCCAAATGAAATATCCTTATATGACTAATTTGCCACTGGATTTGATGCTAGTAAATTAAGGGAGCTTTTTAAAATCTAGAACAATAATATGTGTGGCCCAAAATCTTGAAAATAAAGGCCACATGGTAAGTACTGTAGAAAGATGACCCTGTTATATAAAATAAATCCAAACCAAACCAAACAGAACATGGTTTTAACTTACTTTGATTGGCTTCGTTACTGACACATTGAACTATTTTAAAACTTCTTTTGTTTTTTAAGATTTATTTATTTATCTATACAAGCACTGGGTATAGTCAGAAGCGTGGGAGGGTGAGAGAATTCACCAGAGCCAGAGTGGGGAACAGAACAGGCAGACTGATGAAGAAATACACTGCTGAGGGGAGCAGCGGGCGCAGCAGGAGAGGTCTGTCGCGCCATGTGGGACCCTGGCCAGTGGCCGGGGATCGAACCGGCACTGCAGAAGCTGAGGGCAGTTTGACAGCCCAGCACTTAACCACTGCGCCACCAGGGGAGGCCCTATTTTAAAACTTCTTAAACATCATTTTTCTTTGATGAGTAGTGTAGTTTTTAATGTTGATAAATAAAATTGGTCTATATCCTTTAATTTACCACTCTTGCTGATAGATAATAAAATTAGAAATCATTTTTGTGGGAGACTTTTAAGAACTATAGCATAGGTAGACTACTGTTTATGCTCTACTTTTCCTAGATGGTTAGATGAGATTGATAGTGAGAATAACTTCTATGATTGTAACTTATGGACTGCCAACTAATAAGAATTCATAAACTGGGAATAAGTAAAATACTATTAGAGAGTCTAATAGCTAAAATAGAACTAGGCTTGGAAAATGATTCATCCAATGGATGTCCTAATGAATTACCTGAACAAATTATTAATAAAAATCACGTTCTTTTTGGTTTAAAACTCAGTTTGATATAAATATTTGTGATTAATAAGGATATCAGACAAATAGATATATGCTATTTTTCCAATTAAAGAATATTTTCTTATAGTCACTTGAGTAAAGTGATTTATTATACATATATGTTCACCATCACCACCTGAAACAAATCTGCTCTGCATATCCTATTTCAAAGTGGAAGCTACATTCCACTGAATCTATTTAACTTACAGGAAGGTATAATGGCCTAAGGAAGATTTCTTTTAAAGTTATATCTTAGAAATACTTAACTTCTGCAGCTATAATGCAGATATTAGCTGTAACTTGAGAGGTAATTGCTCTTGATCCTATTGAATGTGTTATAAAACTAAGAAATAAAATCTCCAGGATTTCCCCTATTTTCATGAGTGTGTTATCATAACCTGGTCTACACTGCTTGGATTCCCTCTCTCTGCAGGATTTGTTTTCTTTTCTCTTCATCTCCATCTTCTACCAGACCTGAGCACTTATATATGGTATAGTCCCCTAACCTTGAACTTTTCTCCCATCCAAAATTCACGTATATAACAGAATTTTTATTAAAATATTGGGGCTACCTGATAGGAACTTCACATATGACACACACTCCACACAATGTTAGCACACACTCCTGCCTTCATGGAAGGTTACCACTCGCATACCTCATTTGATACACCAGCCTTTCAGCCTGTGAATGTGTCACCTCCTGGGGCAGCAGCTCTGGGAGTGGTGTGGGATGAGGGAATGTTTACTCAATGTCCAAGGGTGTTGGAGCAATGAAAAGCCTGGAGGTCTACTCCTGGCAGTATTGTGCAGCCCCCATCCAAAGGGGGTCTCGTATTAATTGGAATCAGGTACAGAGGTGGGGCAAGTATGTAGGGAGTATACATACATGGGGGGTGCAGTTGTTGGGAGTGTAAAGCTAGGGGGTAGTGACCAAGGACTATAGCCTGCGGGGTCCATCATTCCTGCTGGTCAAAGCATATTATTTCTGACCTCTATTCTTACCTAGCTGTCTGCTAATTCTTACAAGTAAGGCATTTAGTGGATCTCGCTAATCTGGTCATAATATCTGCCTGATGATTTCAGCAGATACTGATTTCCCAGTGTGTTCCTCATACCGGGACTTTTGTCCTTGGTGAGAGGACTCTTGCCTGACTACCTAGCTGACTGGCAAGAACTCTGGGAACCAAGACAATAGCCACAAGAACAAGGAGGGCTGGGGATCCCACAGAAATGGTTCCATTTTTTTTCAGATCTATTGAAATATAATTGACATAGAATAAATTTACCCATTTAACATGTGTAGTTCAATGAGTTCTGACAAGTATATCATTGTGTAAATGTCACCACAATCAAGCTATAGACTTTCCCATCACTCCCAAAACAACCCTGTGCCCTTTTGCAGTCAAATCTCTCCCTCCACCCTAGCCTCAAGCAAACACTGTTCTCTGTCACCATAGTTTTGCTTTTTTAAAAAAATGATCTTATATAAATGTAATTATAAATGTATAATCTTTGACTTTGTTTTCCTTTCCTTTTTTTTTTAAAGATTTATTTATTTATGCATACAAGCTGGGGTACAGGCCAGAGGTACCGGGGGTGGGGCGAGAGGATTCACCAGAGACAGAGCAGGGAACAGAACAGGCAGACTGACCAAAGTACACTGCTGAGGGGAGCAGTGGGCGAGACAGGAGAGGTCTGCCTCACCATGTGGGAATCTTCCTGGCTGGCCGGGGATCAAACTCATGCCACAGTGGCTGCGGATTGCTTCATAGTACAGTATTTAACTCCCTTGCACCACCAGGGAGGCCTCTCTTTTCCTTTTCTTGGCATGATGTTTTGGACATGTATGCATGTACCAGCAGTTCCCTTCTTTTAATTACTGGTTAGAAATACGTTGTGTGAATATATCACCATAGATGCATTGACCCAGTAATGGGCGTTGGGGAATATTTCCTTTATTGTTATGAATAATGCTGTTATGAAAATTAGTATACAAGTGTTTGTGTAAGCAGCTGTTTTTATATAACTTGGGTAAATACCTAGCAATGGGACTGAGAGTTGTCTGCTAAGTTTCCATTTTCCTTTTTTTGAAATTGTGAAAATGTTCTTCAAGGGCTGACCACTTTCACTCCATACAGCTGTGTGTTGGATTTCCAAATTTGCCCCACATTTTCTGTAACACTCAGTGTTGTGAATCTTTATGCTTTTAGCCTTTCAAGTACGTTTCTAATGGTTTTAATTGGCGTTTCTTTGAAGAATGTTGATCTCGACTGTCTTTCCATGTATTTCATTTGTCTTATTTTATGATGTTTCTATTCAGATATTTTATTGATTTTGAATTGGATCATTCATTTAAATACTATTTATATATCCCCAGCTCAAACCCTTTGTCAGATAATTTTTCTTTCTCCCAGTTTATGGTGTGCCTTTTATTTTTTAATAGGCTTCCAAAGAGCCAGTATAACAGAGGCTTCTCCATAAAAGGGGGAGGTACAATGTTTCCCAGCCCTCTTTACATCAGCTATGTTGCACTAGCTACTGGGAACCAGGGTGTGGAGCTGAGCACCCAGGTGATACCTATAACATGGAAGGCAGGTGGGCTCTGAGAAACACTTGGAGAAAAAGTGTTTGCTTGCTTCCCAGCTTTGGACTTGCACTAGGGACTTAGGGGACTTGAAGGAGACATGTAGAGTTGAGACATGTAGAGATATTTGGAAGAGACACATAGGTGAGAGACACTTGGTGAGATTGATGATGGCAGCCATTATGTTGATTTGAACTTTCATTTGCTTTGCTTCTTTTGCCCCAAACTTGCCTGGCCTCTTTTGTCCCTTCTGT